TGATCTTACTTCTGTATACCTGAAAGAATCCTTTTGGGTTAGTCTTCGATTCTTTTGCAACTTTAACCTCATAATCTCTTTTTGCTTTTCTAATTCCCTTTTTTATTTCTCTCTTTAACTGAATATATCGATTTCTTAATTGCCCCTCTCCTCTTTTGATTTGCCTATATATGCCTCTCTTTTGACCAATCAGATATTTTAATCTATTGTTCATCCATTTAGGATCATTTTGTTTGATCTGATTTCCCTATTTAGGAACATAATTTGACTGAGCAGCTAGAAACTATCCCTGGAAAGCTCATTATCGGCAACCATCACCACCTACCTGGACCCTTAGTCAGGTCATTTCCAGTTCAGCCCACCTAAGTAATTTTTCAGTCCTATGAAATCAGCCAAGCGAAAGTCAGGGACGGAGATTGATTGCCATTATTAGGGGAATTCCCTGATAATATTAAAAACTGAGTGATTTGTGAATCACTCTCCCCAAGCTCATCATTAACCTCAAGATTATTAATTAGTGTTTCCCACTGGCAAAAACCCAAGTCAAGGAGGTTATTTCCCCTAGTTGGCTCTGTCACAACTTTTTAAAAAACAATCCTGGATCGTATCAAGAAAGTCACCCGACTCTAAATTTCCTGTCAAATTGCTCCAGTCAAATCTGTCTATAGTTGAAATCTCCCATTAGCACAACATTTTCGTATGTAGATGCCTTACGAATTTTCGCCCATAGAAGTTTACTGCACTCCCTATCAAGATTTGGGGCCCTGTAAATCACACCCAAAATTAGTTTTTCTCGGCCCTCGAGGAAGCTGTAACCAAACAAAATTCAGTGGCTGACGCTTCTAATTTAATATCTTGTCTAACACAACCAATTTAAATTGTCTCTGACATAACATCGCTACTCCACCACCTTTCCTGTTGACCCTGTCAGTGTGGAATAATTTATAGCCTTGTATGTGACATTCAGAGGGCATCTCTCTATCTATCAGATTGAGCAGGTCTCTGTTATTAGCAATAATATCTATGTTTCCTACACTTGCAATTAATCTTAGCTCATCTATCTTATTTCTAACACTCCTGCTATTAGTATAGTAAACCTAAGGGAGCTAGTCCCTTGCTGCCCTCTGCTGTCCCCCTTTGTTTGCTGACCTGTTCTATTGTCTTTATTTATAACTTCATGCTGAATGCCTTTTATACATTTACTGTTTCCAACCCTAGTGTTGCAACCTGCTTGTTTCCCACACACACCCATACCTCTATCTTCCATCAGTTTAAAATCATAGGCATTTCACCAATGGCCTTCTCAATCGACTGCTTCACCTCACCTGTCTACAGTATATAAGGCACGTCTTCGTGAATACGCTGTATTCTTTTCAAGACTGATGGACTGATTACATTGACTCCAGGCTAAGGGACTGATTACCTGAAACTCCTGATAGTCACAATTCTTCTTCGTATAAGACTGATGAAGCCACTGTGTGGCGAAACTTTTCTTTAGTAAAGATACCCAAATGTTGCACATGTGTCTAATTTATTAACTTGTCGGTTCTCTGAACCATTTATCTACAGAAACGAGTAAATTTGCAACAGATCCCAGGCACGAGCAAGACGCCCAAGCAGGTAATTATTATAATCAGAAAGGAAGCGCTAAACCTACAAGGGTTATTCAGCGCACCTGGGCGGGGAAGGGTGCAGGGGTGGAGATTATTATTATTATTATAATCAAAGGGGGGAAGCGCTAAACCCGGAGGATTATACAGCGCCTGGGGGGATGTGGAAGGCATTCAGGCTTAATTCGGAGAACTGGAGCACAGATCCAATTCCCTAAATCAAGAGCCCCTCACCAACACCAAGGAACCTTCCTTGAGGGGTCAGGGGTGGAGAGAGGTAGAAAATGATGCGAGGTCCCAAATGGGTAAACAAGGACCCCAATAGAAATAAGCCACTTATTATATATATATTAAAATATATATATATATATATATATATATATATATAATATATATATATATATATATATATATATATTATTATATATATATATATATATTTTTTTTTTTTTTTTGGGGGGGGTTATCCTAGGTAATTTACACTATGTACGATAATTGTACTTATGTGTAAGTGTACCTAAATAAACTTAATTAACCTTTAACCCCAGGCCAAAACACCGACGTTGTGGTCCAAATCGGACCGAAACGTCGTCATAAGTTTCTCTTATGAGGGTTATTTGTGTAATGTCCAATGCATCAGCTTTTTTCTAGTCAGTGACAGCTGAGCCAGCAGGGTCCAGCCTCACGATGTACCAGAAGGAAGGTGCGCCGGAGGCACCATTTATTATGAATTCTTAAATTTTAAATGTAATAAAATATTTATATTTTTTGCAGTAGTAGTAGCAGTAACACTTGAATAAGTAATATCAGTGAAGGAGTAATAACAATTTAATGAGTAATAACAAAAAAAGTCTTTCGGAGTGGCTCAGGGAATTTAGTTATGTCGCCTGTGAGCGTCAATGCAAGAAAACAGAATTATTGGGGTAATTTTTTTTTATATAATTTTCCTGTAACAAGTTAAAAATATGAGTATCTACAAAACTTAGTGTAGGTGTGGATGTGACTTTTAAAATATGTTAAATCACAGAGAAACTCACATCTATAATTTACTCTTTTTTATGGTAATCGGTTAAGTAAAACATACTTCATGTAATGTTGAAAAGATGCACTGTATACGAAAACGTAGGGATTATTATTATAATCGAGGGAGAAGAGCTAAACCCGTAGGATTATACAGCGCCTGTGGGGGGAATGTGGAAGATATTCAGGCTTAATTCAGAGAACTGAAGGACAGATCCAGTTCCCTAGATCTAGAGCCTCTCACCAGCGTCAAGGAACCTTCCTTGAGGAAGAAAAATAAAAAAAATAAGGAGAGCAACGAAAATGGAGTAATACAAATCGGGCTGGGAATTTGTGGAGAATTCATCTCATTTAAGCCGATAGAAATAGTATCGAGAAATATAGTGTATTGCATAATAAGTAGATTTAACATGTATCTGGAAGGGTTCAGATACAAAGTGAAACTATCAAATACGGATGAAACGCTGTTGCTGGAGAATCTACATCGATCACCACATATATCATCGTAAATTAAATCTCACTACAGTTAATGTAACTATCTATTGACAAGTATTAGTTGCCTACCTATAGGGAGGCGTTAGGATATATCACCAAGACCATAATTTGGTGAGTAATATTTAAATGTTCATATTTTTTCTAATATAATTAATCTACATATATGTGGAAAATTAAATTTACCTGGATGTAACTCATAAGATATATACCAGTAAATGGTAACAAAGATAATTATTATTTATCAAGGTTACAGAGACAAGTTGGAATTTTAGGACACCTAGGTCGCAAAAAATGTCCTCCTTCGATACCTACGATAATCTATATCTCCACAAGTCACTCTGGACCTATATTAATTTCAAATGAAATATACATCACCAGGAATTCTGGTAAAACATTAATATAAATATGTGGACTGTATATTAAATTTAAAATGTGAATACATATACATTGAAGGAGAATTTATAATAACAAGACTCACCAATTAGTCTGGAGATAACGGTGTGTCATACCAACCCCTTGCCTAAATTATGAGGAAAATACTGGCCAGAATTTCAACACAAAATAGACATGACTTAGCTGGGGTTCCAAAGCTGTCCTGTCCATCTGTGTAATACTCACGTTTTGCAGGACTGCAAATCCAACAATTTCGGCTCCTATTTGAGGTTTTAAACCCAATATAACCCCTAGAGCGACGAAAATTCTTCCGATTTTTCAATAACGTTCGTCTCGGTCAATTCAAAACATGGCGACTCCTCCCCAGGGATGCTCACCCATCGCTGGTTCTTTATTTATTTACAAATTAATTTTTATTACCTACTTACTGACTTGGAATATTTTATTTAAAATTCTAGAACTATATGTTCAAATAATTTAAGGCCCAGAAGTGAGAGTTTTGGGAGGTGAGGTGAACATGGAGGGAGGGACAGTGATGTGACCCTTTGTTGTTAGTCCCACCTGTCTCCGAGGTACAACTAGTACCACTAAGTACAATCTGTTTCGATGTGGCAGAGTTCTCCCCAGGTTAGTTTAAGTTTAATATGTTTATTATGCACCCCATACCCATCCAGTGGGCGGTAGTCAAAAGATTACAGAGGTACATAATGGGTCCAGGGACTGGGCCTCAAAGTTTTGATAGCTGAGCAAGTTACAGAGGTAATGAACTCACAATTTACAAAGGTAATGAACTCACAATTTACAAAGGTAATGAACTCCAGGTAGGTCTAGTCACAATCATGACAAGTTACAAAGGTATTTACAGATTACAGAGGTACACAATGGGTCCAGGGACCGGGCTCCAAAGTTTTGATGGCTGAACTAGGTACAAGGTAATGAACTCACAAGTTACAAAGGTAATGAACTCACAAGTTACAAAGGTAATGAACTCACAAGTTACAAAGGTAATGCATACTGTAAGAATGGTGTGTGTGTGAAATGTTAATTCAGGATTGTACCTGTTAAATTCACCCACAATTTCTCACAGTCACAAGGGTCTTTGTCAGACCCACTGAGCACTGTTACATCACTAGAAAGAAATGTTATTTCATATTTTTACAATTATTACATATAGTTAATGTACATTACACAGTATGGGATAAAAACTAAAAAAGAATATTAAAAGACATTGGTCATGGTCTCTCCTGTGTAAGACTTGGATCTGCCCTTGTGGGCTTTTTTTTTTTTTTCATGATGTGAAATGTATCTGATAGTTCTCATTTATACTAGTTAGCCAGTTATCTTCTAACAATATTGCGTAAACTCCTGTTTGACAAGCAAAAATTACATTCCACATTCTCCTTTGTAACAAAAATTGGCAGAGAGAAAACAATTCTCTAAATCAACTACGTATTGAGGAAAAAAAATTGCCGAGTATGGCGCCACGACTGATTAATTGTCCAGCGGACTGAACATGGTAAGTCTCTCAGGAAAAGAATGAGGGAAATTCATCACCGATGATCAGGGAAGAACGAGATTGGTGCAGATGTCAGATGTCACTTGGGGTAAGCTGGTTACTGTTCGTACTTGAGGTAGGCTAGTCACTGTTCCTACTTGGCGTACTTCAGTCACTGTTCCTACTTGGCGTACTTCAGTCACTGTTCCTACTTGGCGTACTTCAGTCACTGTTCCTACTTGGCGTACTTCAGTCACTACTCGTACTGGAGTAAGCCAGTCATTATTTGTACTTGAAGTAGGTCTGTTCTGCTTGGTAGTAGTAGTAGGCATCATTACTGCAGCCCGAGCAGGCACCGTCACAGATATCATTATTGCCGTTCTGACACTTCATAGAACTGTTACACCCGAGATACTCAATGTACTGTACGAACACCTGTGTGCGTGGAGGGTTACAGAAAGGCATTAGACACAGTTACAAAGGAAAAAAATACGAAATAATTACATTTAAATAAACTAATTCTCAACTGATATAGTGCAATACTATTTTAAGATCTCTAATGTTTCACACTCCCTTGACATACACTCTCCCCACACATTCCCCCACTACTCATTCCCCTACCACTCACCCCTACCATACACTTCCCCTCACTACACACCAAAGGGCCGGAGCGAATTCCATCGTCGTCTACACAGAAAGCAAGGCCATCTCTCTGCTGTTTGGTATCGTAGATGCCAGTGCTAACCCGGCATTGGATATCCAGTAGTATGTTGT